CAATTTTAAGGAGCAAGTGAAATGATGAATTTCAGCGAGCCGTTGTATTCGGTACCGATGATCAGGTTAAATGCCACGATGCCTTCGTCCTCAGTACACACAAAATGATCGTATACAACAAACCACAAAAGCAGCAAAGCTAAGTCAAGCTTGTTGCATAGTCTTTTGCGGAGATTCCAGTGAAAATCCTTTAAGAGATTACTCAATGGAAATAAAAATTGTCATGGGCATAGCCGCAGGTTGCTTAACAGCCATAGCTGCCACACCTTAGATTTTTAAGCCATTAAAACAAGGTAGGTGGAACATATCTCTCCTTTCATATTTATGATCCTCCTGGCCGGAAATCCCTTATGGTGCTGGTATGGCATTTTACGTAAAGAATGGCCGATCATACTAACCTTATTCATCACCTTCCTCAAGCTGAAAGATATTTTCTACAGCGCTATTAAAGTACCGTGCTATCCTCAGCGCAATAATGGTCGATGGCGTAAAACGACCGGATTCAATGGAATGGATCGTTTGCTTGGACACCTTGATCTGCGCTGCAAGATCACTTTGGGTAATGTTCAGCTTAGCCCGTTCTACCTTAATGCTGTTCTTCATGGCAATATCAACATCATCAGCACGATCGCGATCGTTGACACCAGCAAATAGACTAAAATCCCGCCAATATTTTTAGGGATGGCCTTAATATTCTCCCAGGCCGAGCGGTCCTTGTCCTCAAAGTCCCAAAACTGATCAAAATAAAGCCCCGTATAAAAGGTGAGCAGGTAGACTACAATAGCCAGTCCGGCGAATAAAAATAAAATACCACCGTCCAGATCTACGACACCCGGTCTTGCGAGCGACATCGACAGGCCCATGGACAGCAAAACACTGATGGTAAACATAAAGGAAAGCTGGAAGGCTTTGAGGCGTATCTGCTGCGCTCGTTCATCGTCCTCTTTCTCCCTGCAATAGGCGATCATAAATAAACCGCCCAATGTCATCCAAAGGAAGAAGCTGTAGTGCTGTTCTGGGCTCATCTTCTGGTACAGCACAAATGGAGAAAGCCGCTCCACAATCATTCCCAACAGACCTATTGCCGAAACAATAACGCCTTTGATCTTGGCTTTATAACTATACATCAAATTGAGTCCCTTCATAAATACACTTGGTTAATTGACGGGTTAAAAGTAAAGCATCTTTATATAAAATACAAGTAAGCTTTACTTTTGAGCAAACAAACTTTAACTGAAATGCACACAATAAATAACGCCGCATACATAAAAAATTCAGCCAGATAAATTAGAAGCAATTCTTCATTAAAAGGAAGCAAAAAATAAATGCCTGGCGAAACGACTTAAAGCTGCAGAAAGTAAAGTTCTGAGTAGTATTAAAAGTGTCACTTGATCTTAGGTGTTACAATGCAAATCAATAAGCAGCGGCCAATGTTCTCTTTAGCGGTGCTTCTATCAATCAATTATTGGTTCCTGCCGGTTGTCCTAAAAGACCTGTAGCATTAAAACCCCTTCTCACAAGTACCTGGGTTAACCGAGGGTAGCAATTTTTTTTAAGAAATT